ACGACCTTCGTCCAGTGTGTTGATCTGTATGCACTAAGCACTTAAACACTTCAACACCGACCACACGCGTATCTCGCGGGATGCTACTTCCGGGTATGTAGGACTTGAAAAAGGGGATGTGGCTGACAGTAAGATGTCCATGTCCACACTACAGATATAACAGTAAAGTGCCGTGTGAACCACTGAGACTTTGTCTCTGTGCCTTTAGGGACGGTCGGGTAGCCTAGTGGTTAAAGCGTGAGCTCGTCACGCCTAAGACCCGGGTTCGATTCCCGACATGGGTACAATGCGTGAAGCCCATTTCTGGTGTCCCCCGCCGTGATATTGCTGGAATATTGCTAAAAGCGGCGTAAAACCATACTCACTCACTCACTCTGTGCCTTTAGGCTTATTTGATGTACTTTCCAAACTTTCAGTACATAAGATCGGTTCTGTTTCTTTGTTGTTTAACCGCACTCAGCAATATTCAAACTTTGTGACGGCGGTCTGTAAATAATCGAGTCTGGATTAGACAATCCAGTGATTGACATCATGAGCATCGATCTACGCAATTAGGATACAATGAAATGCATCGACCAAGTCAGCAAGCCTGACCACCTCGCCTCTTACGACAAGCATATGTTGCTGAAGACCAATTCTTACCTGGATTTTCACTGGGGGCATAATTAGGAGATAAACATCCTGTGTTTTCAATGTAGATCTAGGTTACCTGTAGATCTAACCCCGCTAAATTGAATTTGGAACCGAACGCGCAGCGTGAGGTTTCAAATGTTAAATTCATGATAGAATCGGTTTTGACGGACTTGAAACAAATTTGACAGGTCTGACATTTTGGACCAACCCTAGTTCCCAGTTTAACAACTGGTTTTGGTTTGGTTTGTTTTGTTGTTTTTCACCGCACTCAGCAATATTCCAGCTATATGACGACGGTCTGTAAATAAATCGAGTCTGGGCCAGACAATCCAGTGATTGATATCATGATCATCGATCCACGCAATTGGGATCGATTACATGAATCAACCAAGTCAGCGAGCCTGACAACCCGATCCCGTTAGTCGCCTTTTACGACAAGCATAGTCACCTTTTACGGCAAGCATGGGTTGCTGAAGATCTATTCTACCCCGGAATCTTCACGGGTCTTAACAACTGGTATTAATATCGTACAGTATCATGGCAAGAAAATGGAAACAAAATCTCCGTGTATTCAAAACATCTTGAATCGTTAATTAATGTATTCCTCTATAGGAATAGAACTCGGGTCCGAGGGTCGAATAGCGAACACTTCTACCACTCTCTTCTTGCCGCTCTATACTCTATATTATATATCATCAGATTCACACTTTATCCCTGATTCCTCATGATGACGGAATTTCACAGACCATTCTAAACAAGTAAAACTGAAGCAATAATAGGTCATTATGTCTAATTAGAGAGAAATTATACATCAACCATAACAAGATTTAAGTCCGAGAAATCACTCGAATCAGTTGATTCCAGAGTCAAAGATAGTTGTGGTTTCTCCATTAATAAATTTTATACATCAGTGGGTTGGTTGGTTGGTTGGTTTGTTGTTTAACGCCACACTCAGCAATATTCCAGCTATATGACGGCGGTCTGTAAATAATCGAGTCTGGACCAGACAATCCAGTGAGTAATATCATGAGCATCGATCCACGCAATTGGGACCGATGACATGAATCAACCAAGTCAGCGAGCCTACAACCCGATCCCGTTAGTCGCCTTTTACGACAAGCATAGTCACCTTTGCTTGCTGAAGACCTATTTTACCCCGGAATCTTCACGGGTCATACATCAGTGGGATTCGACCCTGGGTCATCTAGGTGACGGGCGAACGTATGTAACGCAAGGCAACACCTCTTCAAATCACCCTCGCAACAGATATTCTCGAGTATGTCACATTTTATGTTTGTGAGTAAAACAATGACGGTAACCGTGATTACGTTTGTTTGTTGTTTAACGCCGGACTCGTCAATATTCCAGCTATATGCCTGGACAAGACAATCTTGTGACTGACATCATGAACATCGATCTACGCAATTGGGATTCAATGACATGCATCAACCAAGTGAGCGATCCTGACAATCCGATCCCGTTAGTCGCCTCTTACTATAAGCATAGTCGCCCTTTACGGCAAGAATGGGTTGCTGAAGACCTATTCTACCCCAACTCTCGCAACATTCTCATAATGCAAGTGCACACTTTTTGTAAATTAGGGGATGAATTAGAGTCCGGACCAGACAATCCAGTGATTGATATCAAGCAATTAGGCTACGTTGACATGCATCATCTTAGTCAGCGAGCCTGACCACACGATACCGTTAGTCGCCTCTTTCGACAAGCATGGGTTGCTGAAGACAAATTCTAACCCGGAATCTTCACGGAACTGTTCTCTCGTAGCAGTACGGTGGAAAAAAACTCAAATTAAGACAGCTTTGAATACAAAGTTCTGTCTGAACGAACAGACAGCATTACATTCGCTTTGATCTCAGTAGTGGCGTCAATATACTATGAATACGAAATGTCCTAGGATTAGTTGGAAACGAAGATGAAGGCTGTTCAGAAGAAACAAACATTTCATTTCCGAGAACATTAAAATGTTATATTACTTTCAATGATTTATGAATATAATATTATTGTAAATGCTTAAAAAAACATATAACTCCACTCTGAACCCTTTTAGAAACAGCACAGTATAAAACATTCAAAACGCCATGACGACGGCCGAGCCAACATTTTCAAAACACAGTGCTAAAACAAGGACTTGTCGGCTCGGAGTCAGTATACTGTGTCTGAGTGGGATATTCATGTTAAACTGCGGCATGGTATCTCAGTGTGCTAGCACTATAAATCGGCATCAGTCCGGACTAGTACAAGCAGCCACACACACACACACACACACACACACATACACGTGCATGCACGTCGCTATATAAGTGCAATAATCTTGGACGCGACGTTAAACCCCATTTCACCTCACCTCAAAACACAGAGCAGGCGAATTTAAGCCGTATTCCATTACGCTAAAATAAAATCACATTCAAATAGTATGAAGTAAACTACCGGGCAAAAGAAAGTATACCTCGTTTTTGATAGTGGATAAAAGTGAAACAAACAAGAAATGGGTTGTTCGATGGTGATGTCTTTGATGTTTGTTGTTTGTTTGTTGTCGCCGACCTCAACAATATTTCAGCTATATGACGGCGGTCTGTAAATAAACGAGTCTGGACCAGACAATCCAGTGATTAATATCATGAGCATCGATCCACGCAATTTGGATACGATGACATGCATCAACCAAGTCAGCGAGCCTGGCCACCCGATCCCGTTAGTCGCCTCTTACTATAAGCATAGTCGCCTTTTACGGCAAGAATGGGTTGCTGAAGAGCTATTCTAACCCGGATCTTCATGGGTCGATCGTGATGTATTTGATACAGTATCAGGTTAGTGTTTTTTTAACCTTAAGTTTCTTGTGGTGCGGTGACGGTTTTCAGGGTTGTAGCATTTTGATAATGTGTGTATTGTTTTTTTCAAATCCAATTTTCAAATGTATACGTTTTTTGCCCGGCAGTTTATATTTCTAAAGAACGGGAAATATATCTCGAAGGAAAATAACATTATAGCAATTGATTTTTGATTTTTTTTAAAGCTATATTTTAAAGGTTTAAAGAAGTGAAGATCTGGATGCACAATCCTTGGGCAGTTTCTATTTAAACGGATAAACAGCTGGTTCATTGACGGTTACTAGTTTATCGCAATTATCGAGATTTCGGGGTAGAATAGGTCTTCAGCAACCTTTTCTTGCCGTAAAAGGCGACTATGCTTGTCGTAAAAGGCGACTAACGGGATCGGGTGGTCAGGCTCGCTGACTTGGTTGATACATGTCATCGATCCCAAATGCGTGGATCGATGCTCATGATGTCAATTACTGGATTGTCTGGTCCAGACTCGATTATTTACAGACCGCCGTCATATTGCTTGAATATGGCGGAGTGCGGCGTTAAACAACAAACCAACCAACTAACGCAATTATCGAAGGCCCAGACCCCATAGAATTCGTTCGTTTCTTGTGTTAAGCCGTATAGTCCAAATTATTCAGCCGTATAACGGTGGCCTGTAAATAATCGAGGCTGGGCCAGACAAACCAGTGATTCGGGGATAATGAGCAACGCTTCACGGCGTCGGAGTACGATAACACGCTGTCAACCAATTCACTAAACCTGACCGCCCTATCCAATTATAGGTTCTTAAGGACATATTCCATCCCAAAGTGACGGAAACTTGGAAGGACCCGTGAAGATCCGGGGTAGAATGGGTCTTCAGCAGCCCATGTTTGTCGTAAAAGGCGACTATGCTTGTGTAAGAGGCGTCTAACGGGATCGGGTGGTCAGGATCGCTGACTTGGTTGATGAATGTCATCGATGTCAATTGCGTGGATCGATGCTCATGAAGTCAATCACTGGATTGTCTGGTCCAGAGTCGATTATTTACAGACCGCCGTCATATAGGTGGAATATTGGTGAATGCGGCGTTAAAAAACAAACAAACAAAATAAAACAGTTTTTTACAACGGCACAATCGTTTACTTTTTGTGTAAGTATACAGTTTATATAATTATTTTGACTTTTACATGTCGTAGTACATCACTTCAGGCTCTTGATGTGTTTAATTCAGATTTATTGTTATAAATATTGTTTATAGTTCCATAAAGTTCGAACGCAGGAAGAGAAAATTAATTGTTCTAACAGTTACTGAAGATGAAAGCAACTTTCACCGATCACGATACCTTCGTTGCTAAGCGATGCTAAACTGTTAGGCGCTGTTTTAACGTACGTTGACTTATGAATCTCGACTATGAACTAACAATTTCATAATGTTTGCGAGCGGCTCGCGCCTTCGCTATTTGACGCGGAAACTAGGGTAAGTGTGTGGCTTACTGCACGAGATACGTTGAACGCTCGTGGGGTTTCATGCGTGAAGCGAAATACGGCATATCACGTGATACCAGTCGCTCGACCAGGGCAAAAATTCCCTGCTAGCGATAGAATGCTTTAGCGGTCTGTCAGGGCGATTCGCAGTTCACCGCGGACACGTGAATGTTGCTATCAAGCCTGGGTTTCTATACCAATGTGTGGTGGATAGCAGTTCGACGCTGGATATGAAAAGAAGGATATACATCTAAATTATGTCGGTATACTAGCACAAAGGAGACTGACAGAACGCGGAAATCTAGTCCAGCATACACCATGTGCTAGCGATCGGCAGTGGTCTTGTGTCATGTGTGTAACAACATAGGCCGATAAGAGGATTCTGGCTGAAGTATGACGACCAAAATTGTTTATTTTGTGGTTGACGGACGAAATGAACAAACAGAATTCCGCGGGAACGATGACACCGAAGATATGCGAGGTAAGTTGCTGCTGACCACGAAGCTCTCTAACAGTTCCGTCGTTCTCAACCGGCCTGTGAGCGCTGTATGTAACCCACTTACAGACGATGTACACGGCCTGCGTTGCGCTCTCGGTGCTAAAGAAATTTGGCATCCTCCTTCTTTATGACGAACCTTATAGAAACATAACCTGTCAAAATGTCATGTAGCTCTAGAAGGATACACTTGAGAACATGTTTTAACCGAGCAATAGAATGGACCGGTAAAATCCCTATTCGCTTTAAGAAAAGACATTTAAAAAGTTTACTTACTTGTTGTAAGGGGTTTAATAATTGACAGTAGGTAAGTCCCTTTCATTTAGAGCTATGTCATTGCTTATATAGTAGCGTGAATATGAAATAGGTGTTATTTATACCGACAATGTATTTTATTTATTAAACCACGCATATGTTCTATTCGATCGGTTAAACATTGCCATGTGTTGGCGTTATCAAATTGCAAATATAGCTGGTATTATTTTCCATGTATTAACGTCCCTTGAACAAGACTCTGAACTTCATTCCATATGAATACTTCAAAGGGTTATTTTGATGGAATGGCGAGAAATATACGCCCATTTTCGACGCCCTAAACTTGACAGGTCGGTTTCAATGTCGGCATCCCTCTGTCGGTATAGTTGTCAGTTTCACTTGAATGACATGTTATGTAACCAGTTGTCGATTGCATTTGTGAGCCACATTAGTATTAGTGGCGTGGAATGAATGACAGTCGAGTCGCATACACTGTTGTCTGTAGTTTGCGTCAAGGTAGTATCTATGCGAGCTTAAATTGACTGCAGCATTTGGTATTGACACAAAAATGCATAGCGTTGCTCAGAACTTTTTAGGTGCTTCGAAGTTTGAAGCTTTCATGATCAATGTAAAGGATGTGCTGTCCATCTTCTTGTGATTTTTGGCTTTGCTGGAATATATACCATTTGATAGGTAGGTGTGTGGGGGTGGGGGTGGGGGGGTTACTTAACATGGAAAATCAATGCTGATCTCAAACAAAAATCCTCACTCAGGCATACACACCAATAAACAATATACAATATCAATAATTTGAGGAAGTGAATTCTTCAGAAATCTATAATAAATTATCTAGAAGATTTGTCATTTGACTGACGTAATTTCAAATCAAAATTGTTTTCAGGGTGGAGTTTTTAATATATTAAAGATGACAGAATATGTCTCCTGGTATAATCTTTTCTACCATTAGATCTAATTTTGTGTTTTTCCTTGCTTTGACTTGTCCAGCCTCGATTATTTTTTTATTATAAATTATTAAACTATTAAAGTGATTATTTATTTGGGTTATGCATCTTACATTAAACGATTTTATTATTATTATTATTATTATTATGATTATGATTATGTGTTCTGTCATTATTATTTTTATTATTATTATTATTATTATCATTATCATTACTGTGGCATTAATAGCATATATATTATCCTGAACTAAGACAAATGAGTATGGTATTAGTGACATGAGACGTCGACTTAATACTTGTAAGGAATTTGAGTGGGTTTGTGATTGATCAAATTGTACGAGACCAGTCCTCTACTTAAGTTTTTCTTGATAATCTGACAAGAATTTTCATAAATGATGACATAAAAAAAAAGAGACAAGACTTTTATTGAAGTGCATTGCCTGTATCTTCCATCAAGTCATAACACAGTCAGAGCATCAGAGAGGATCTATCATCACCAGATGAGGGAGTCTGACATCGATTGGCCGTCATGACTCACAGAGACAAAGTCTACACTACACATCTTTGTCATGTCACACACTTTGTCTACTTGATCAAGAAAGTACACAATCCCTTATGAAAAAAATTATTTATAGCTCGACCCTAACAAAATGGTAATGGGTTAAAAAGAGAAAATCTTTAATAACCTTTTTTAAACTCGGCGAAAAAAATTATTTATAGCTCGACCCTAACAAAATGGTAATGGGTGAAAAAGAGAAAATCTTTAATAACCTTTTTTAAACTCGGCGAAAAAAATTATTTATAGCTCGACCCTAACAAAATGGTAATGGGTAAAAAAGAGAAAATCTTAAGTAACCTTTTTTTAACTCGGCCAAAAGCAAACTCATGTGTGTGTGTGTTCCCCTTAAACAAATCGTATAACATGTACAGTGCTTTATACTGCCAGACAAACTGGACAGGCTTAACCAACATATAACTCATGGCTAAAATATTTTTTTTGATGAACAAAGAAAAAATGTGATGTGGCTTTTTTCTTCTTTCTTCCCTACCAGGACTTTTCTGATAATAAACCTGTAAATAAAACTCAGGCGTATACCCTTATAAAGTACTGACTTCTTTACGAAATGTCTTTATGCCTGTGCTCGTCATTGTGGGTTTAACGGAAATTGGATGGACAAAATGGCTGATGTGGGTGGACAGAGTTTAAAGCAGGGACGAAATGAACTCTCCGCTGTTGGCAGTCAGATCTTGTGCTCTATCATAGTTTAGTGGTGATTTTATTGGGACAAGTTTGCCATTTTCTTCCTTGTATTTTACAGGCAGATATGGTGTCAGTATGGTACTGCTTACATAACTGAAAGGATTAAGAGGGGCGGTCGGGTAGCCTAGTGGTTAAAGTTTTCGCTCGTCACGCCGAAGACCCGGGTTCGATTCCCGACAGGGGCACAATGTGTGAAGCCCATTTCTGGTGTTCCCCGCCGTGATATTGCTGGAATATTGCTAAAAGCGGCGTAAAACCATACTCACTCACTAAAGGATTAAGTATTTAATACTGTTGTGTCGTGGTTCACTTTGTGTTTTCTACAATACACAGTGGTCTTTAAGCACTATGATACTCAGTGTCAACAGAGCAGGAACTGGGTTGGCGTATTGCCACATAAATCGTATTGCAATATAGCACAATACTGAGAGCTGAATTTCAAAACATATTGCAATACTTATTTGGGCTCAAATTATATATATTTGTTCTTTCAAATGGTACTTCTTCATTCAATAATGCAGACTTCTGATTGCGTGATGGGTAGTATGGATAAACAAGACTTCCTATTATGTCTTCAATATGGAATGGTAATGTAAACAGTCTGAAGCGTGTGCTGTTTACCTGGTATCGATAGAAACCCAGTCAATCCAGATGCCTTAAGATAGTAGAGAAAATTTATATAATTATATATTAATTCTTTTATGACTGTATCGAAAAATATTGGTACACAAGGGTTGTATTGCTGATTGTGTCTCAGATACACAATACATTGCTCACTTGTGCAGTGGTAACTGTCTGCAACCCATGCAGAGTTGTGTCCCTTAGGCATGTCAGAATCCTATGATCATGTGTTTGAATCCCAGATCGGCCAAGATGGTTTGTTAGGACTCTGTGCTTGTGGGTTTCATCAATGTGTATCACTTCCAGCTTTCCTCCAAACATTTGACTTGTGGTTTTTTTGCTGGTACATTTTCACATGGGTTCATAAGGGGCGATCCAGGTAGCCTACTTGTTAATGTCTTCGCTTGTCACGCCGAAGACCCGGGTTCGATTCCCGACATGGGTACAATGTGTGAAGCCCATTTCTGGTGTCCATGCCGTGATATTGCTGGAATATTGCTAAAAGCAGCGTAAAACCATACTCACTCACTCACTCATTGGTTTATACTTTTATATACAGTAAACTACGGTTATTACGAAGTCAAAGGGACCACTAATTCTAGTTCGTAAGAACCGTAGTTCGTTATAAGCATATATACACCATACATACAACAAATGGCCGGGACTAAAAAATAAATTTCTCATATCGGTCAGTTTGTTATAACCATGTTCATTATAAACGTAGTTTACGGTACACCAATTCACAAAATGACATCTTGTTGTTGATAACAACGGGACGATCATTAGGAGGCTAAAAGACAACAGAAACAACTTCCGAATTTGCACTCAGCAATATTACAGCGATATGATGGCGGTCTGTAAATACTCGAGTCTGGGCCAGACAATAGAGTGATTGACACCATGAGCCTCGATCCACGCAATTGAGATCGATGACATGCATCAACCAAGTCAGCAAGTCTGACCACCCGATCCCCTTAGTCGCCTCTTACAACAAGCATAGTCGCCTCTTACAACAAGCATAGTCACCTCTTACAGCAAGCATGGGTTGCTGAAGACCTATTCTATCCCGGATCTTCACGGGTGGTATTCACAAGAAGCAATGCATAATATCAGTTCTGACAAGTCCTCCCCAGATCCCATGTCAAAACATAAAATACTGAAGTCATTTTACGAACCCAAATCTTTAGACCACACTCTTATCATCACTTACACCATCGAATTACAATTTACAATCGAAGAAAGATGAAAATGTCGTCTGCTCGTATATCCATTTTACTTGCAAGTGCAATATAGCCTCAAACCAGATGGTCCTAGGACTAAAACAGCCTGAGTGTATATTAGCCAATAACAACAACCTCTTAATTCAGTGCGGGATGACTATCAGTTTTAAAAAAACATAGAGGAAGTTACTCTCACAGTTTGTAAGGAAAAGATAACAAACATTAAATTTGTGCCTGTGTTGCTATTTCATCACAAGTCATAAAGGAAGTATGCACCTGAAAATTGAATTTGACGAAGACCTTACAAACATTATCAATACGTTAGTAGGCTGAAAAGAGTCGCTGAAACACTGCATACTTAAGGTTTGGTTTGTTTTTGTTTGTTTGTTATTTAACGCTGCACTCAGCAATATTCCAGCTATATGACGGCGGTCTGTAAATAATCGAGTTTGGACCAGACAATCCAGTGATTAATATCATGAGCATCGATCCACGCAATTGAGATCGATGACATGCATGAACCAAGTCAAGCCTTCATACTTAATGTTAAAAACACAGCTATGATACCCTTATCAAAAACATCACCATCAAAGAACCATTTTTTGTTTGTTTCACTTTTGACCACCATCAAACAGGGGTGTGTAAATTATTTAATGTAATCATACA